TTACGTAAATTGCGTAACTTACGTAAATTGCGTAAATTACGTAAATTGCGTAACTTACGTAAATTACGCAATTTACGTAAATAACTTACGTAATTTACGTAAGTTACGTAATTTACGTAAATTACGTAATTTACGTAAATTGCGTAACTTACGCAAATTACGTAAGTTATTTACATAATTTACTTAAATTGCGTAACTTACGTAATTTGCGTAAGTTACGCAATTTACGTAAGTTACGCAATTTACGTAAGTTACGCAATTTAAGTAAATTATGTAAATAACTTACGTAATTTGCGTAAGTTATGCAATTTACGTAAATTACGTAATTTACGTAAATTACGTAACTTACGCAAATTACGTAAGTTATTTACGTAAATTGCGTAATTTACGTAAGTTACGCAATTTACGTAAATAACTTACGTAATTTGCGTAAGTTACGTAATTTACGTAAATTGCGTAACTTACGCAAATTACGTAAGTTATTTACGTAAATTGCGTAACTTACGTAAATTGCGTAAATTACGTAAATTGCGTAACTTACGTAAATTACGCAATTTACGTAAATAACTTACGTAATTTGCGTAAGTTACGTAATTTACGTAATTTACGTAATTTTCGTAAATTGCGTAACTTACGCAAATTACGTAAGTTATTTACAAAATTTACTTAAATTGCGTAACTTACGTAAATTGCGTAACTTACGCAAATTACGTAAGTTATTTACGAAATTTACGTAAATTGCGTAACTTACGTAAATTGCGTAATTTACGTAAGTTACGCAATTTACGTAAATAACTTACGTAATTTGCGTAAGTTACGCAATTTACGTAAATTACGTAACTTACGCAAATTACGTAAGTTATTTACGTAAATTGCGTAACTTACGTAAATTACGTAAGTTACGCAAATTACGTAAATTATTTACATAATTTACGTAAATTGCGTAACTTACGTAAATTGCGTAACTTACGTTATTTACGTAAATTACGTAATTTGAAGCACCCCTAAAAACAGGCTCAGCACCCCTCAGCACTCAGAAATGTCTGGAGGCCCACCCACAATCAAATTCCTGGCGCCGCTAGTGGTTGTAGTGTTGTGAATCAACTCAGTAAGTGCTCCAAAGCTGTCTCACACTTCTTTCCTTTTACCGAGAGTTGTTCCGATTCCGATACCATATCGGTGAGTGCTGGAGGCACCGTTTACCAGTTAGCTCTGTTAGCCCGGTTAGCTCCGTTAGCGCCATTAGCGCGGCTACAGTCGAACTGGAGTCCATTTATTAAGCAGAAACAGCAGCGCCACAAGTACCTGTGTAGTGCGTACGTGTGTCTCTGTTGTTAAAGTTTATCGGTACTTTGAGACTCATTTTAACAATCGGGAGTCATGTCAACATGACGTCACGCGCGTCTTTTCTGGTCCGTCGTCATGGAAACATGAAGCCCTGCCAGTGGTGCGGCGTTTGGACCAGAGTGAAAACAAACGAAACGACACATCACTGTATACCACCAGTATGTGTGAAAACACTCACTGTGGCTTTTTAAATTCATTGTTATTTATTCATAGATTTATATCTGTTATTTTTCAGTTGTCTGACTATCAAACCAGACAATAAAATAAAGTTAAATGTTTTTCTTTTGCTGTATTCATTCATGTTTTACAGAGGATTTAACCTGAACCAGGCTTTGCAACAATAATAATCACATCACATTCATGGGGGCATAGTATATACTAACTCCTAGCGTTACTCTGTGTGTGTGTGTGTGTGTGTGTGTGTGTGTGTGTGTGTGGGCATAGTATATACTAACTCCTAGCGTTACTCTGTGTGTGTGTGTGTGTGTGTGTGTGTGTGTGTGTGTGTGTGTGGGCATAGTATATACTAACTCCTAGCGTTACTCTGTGTGTGTGTGTGTGTGTGTGTGTGTGTGTGTGTGTGTGTGTGTGTGAATCGCCCCTGGTGACCACAGCTGCGGTCTCTATTGTAGTGATAAACTCCTTATGATCAATAAATGGTCATTACCGTTTCTCAACCGCGAGGGGGCGACAAACTCACCGTGACGTCGTGACGTCATGACGTCATGTTTATGTCATGTTTATGCGCCGGAAGCAGAGGCTCCTGCAGGAAAGATGGCGGGGCTGCTGAAGAAGGTAGAGTGGAGGTCATGTTTCTTATTAACGTGTGGTTCGTGTTGAAGGGTTACGTGTTTATGTTTGATAAGTTATCATAATGTTAATAATGTTAATGTTAATAATGTTAGCGGAGGACGAGGTCACGTGGTGCAGTCCCACGCTGAGACGCGTGAGAACCGCTGCAGCCTGATAATAATAATAATAATAATAATAATAATACTCATATTAAGGTATATTATAATGTATACGTATGACTCGGTGTATAGTATAATATCTGTATAATGTATTAATATTTTATATTAATATTGTAATAGTATTTTAAGTCGCTCCAGAGACGACATGTGTGTGTTGCAGTGTGAATGTGTTTCTAGATGAGCGATACTTTCACTCCTCTGTGTCCTGAGAGTTAACTGCTCCATAAGTGAATGAATGAATGAAACACATTAAGGACAGCTGCTCAGATGGAGACAGAGCTGTTGTTGTTGTTGTTGTTGTTGTTTGAATCATTTCACATCCTGTGTGTCGTCTCGTTTCCCCGCAGACGACGGGTCTGGTCGGCCTGGCGGTGTCCAAGAACCCACAGGAGGTAAGTGTCTCACCTGGGGGACCAAGGGTCTCACCTGGGGCTCCAAGTGTGCAATATATGCCACAGAGATGTAGTAGTAGTACTACTAGTAGTATAGTAGTAGCAGTAGTAGAAGTACTACTAGTAGTAGTAGTAGTAGTACTTCTACTACTAGTATATGGTAACAGAAAGTACCTTAAATGTGTACTCTAGTAGAGTAGTAAAAGTACTCTCTCCCCCCCAGCGGCTGCGGATCCTGTACTCTAAGATCCTGGCCTCCCTGCAGACGATGCCGCCGGACGCCGCCTACCGCAAGTACACCGAGCAGCTGGTCAGCGAGCGCTTCCACCTGCTCAAGACCGTACGTACGCCACACGCCAACCGCCACACGCCAACACGCCACACGACAACACACAACACGCCCACACGCCAACACGACAACACGCCACACGCCAACACGCCACACGCCACAAGCCAACCGCCTCTGTAGCCACGCTGCAGTCTGCAGTGTCCTCTCGGGTTCCTCTCCCAGTAACTCTGTCAGTAATGTTATTTGTTGGATGCACATAAACTGTCCGCCGTATTGTCTGTGGGTTTCGTTGCAAATAAAGTTTTTCAGAGTGTGAACTTCTCTGTGAGCGGTCTGACGTTAGATATCAGCTCAGCCGGTGTCTGATAGAAGAGTGGAGACTGACCCCATGTGGGCCAGATGGGCTCCTGGGACATTTCGGACAAAAAAAAAAGTGTATTTATTGGCGTTAGGTTTTAGGATTTGGAGCCAAAACGATGTAATCCTGCGTCCCGACTTCATACGCGAGTCTGCAACATCAACTAAACTCCCTCTCGTGTTAGAAAACAGCTGAGCTGGCGGTTCCCCTGTAAGCCACCGTTAGACTGGTCTGCTGACCGCCGGTCTGCTCTTCTTCTTTGTGTTCTGACTGAAGGAGCCGGACGTGGAGAAGCTGGAGCAGAAGATCAACGGGGGTCAGATTGAGGAGGTGATCTTCCAGGTGAGCGTCCGGTTCAGGAAGCATTTCATCTTCTGGATCTCTAAACGCTTTGAGAGGTCGTCAAGCATTTAGCCAACATGACATGTACGTGTGTGTGTGTGTGTGTGTGTGTGTGTGTGTGTGTGTGTGTGTGTGTGTGTGTGTGTGTGTGTGTGTGTGTGTGTGTGTGTGTGTGTGTGTGTGTGTGTGTGTGTGTGTGTCCAGGCTGAGTGTGAGCTGGCTCTGTCCAGGAAGATGGCCCAGTGGAAGCCGTGGGAGCCGCTGGTGGAGGAAGCCCCCCCCAACCAATGGAAGTGGCCCATCTGAAGATCACGTTGTGTTGTTGTTGTGCCCCCCCCCCCCCCCTACTTCCTAATGGAGTTATGTACAAATAAAAACAGTGGAAATATTTTCCCACAAAGTCCACTCGGTGTCCAACGTGTGTTCAACTCTCATCTCCAGATGAGCAGCAGTGAGGAACGTCAGGAGGTCCACAACCAGGAAACAGGATCTTCACTTCATCAATTTGTAGCCAACATGAGAACAGAATCAGAATTTGATACTAAGCCATTTGAACTTAATCATAACTAAGACCCCCCCCCCCCCCCCCCAAAGCTGACCCCCCCCCCCCCCAAGCTGAACCCCCCCCCCCCAAAAAAATGGCCTTATATCTCATTGTCCCGAAGAGGTCAACGAGATATTTCCTCAATTGTACTGTCAAATACAAGTGGGACTTTCCAGCACATCACAGGTGGCGGCCAGGCGGCGCAACGCGGAGCGCTGCAGGTTATCAGATCTGTAGTCCAGAGGTTCGAGTCCCGGCGAGGGACCTCCGTTGGGTTTCCTCTTCAAACACAAAGTGGACTTCCCCTACACATCTTTAATTTGTAAGTCCTGTGAATCGTAAGGTCAAGTATAACTTCCCACCACACCTCAGCTGGCGTCTTGGTGGCGCAGCGGTAAAGCTGTTGGTCAATACTCAGTAGACCAGAGGTTCGAGTCCCGGCAAGGGGACGTTTTTGTGGTTTCCTCTTGTGTATTGTGATGTCAAATACAAGTGTGACTAGAGATGCTGTATTGGATCACAACACACAAGAGGAAACCCAGCAGAGGTCCCTCGCCGGGACTCGAGCACTGGACTATAGATCTGATAACCTGCAGCGCTCTTGAGTTGCGCCACCCGGACGCCCGCTGTGATGTGCTGGACAGTCCCACTTGTATTTGACATTACAATTCATGTAGAAATAAGATGAGACCACAGCACACTCCCTCACTGGGACTTGAACCCGGTCACTTGTATATGACATCACAATACACAAAGATGTCCCTTGACGGGACTCGAACCCACGCTCCCAGTGCACGGCTCTCTCTCCGCTGCGCCAACAGGGACTCCCGGTGTGAGACGGACAGAATTTGTCCTTCACAATTCACACAGTCGCACAGAAATAAGACGGCGCCGCAGAGATCTTTTATCTTATCTTCTTTTATTCTTTTATATCTTTTATATCATTTATTTATGCGTTTCAAAACCTTCCACAAGTGGATAAATCCCCAACATCACACATCACAGAATCAGAATTTGATACAAAGCTTTGATATAAAGCCCCCCCCCCCCCCCTCATTAAATAATAACAAACCCATCAGAGACAGAGACAGACTAACACACTGCAGACTGGGAATGTCCACTCTGGTCAGAGCGGTCGGGAGTGCGTGACGATTGGTTATCGCCTAGCAACCACTGGCGGCCCTCTGCAGCAGCTGGAGCATTATGGGATAGATGGGCGCAAACTCCTTCCCTTGTCTGCTCCGCACCGACTGAACGTACGCCTCCAGCGCTGCCCTGGAGGACGAGAGGAGAGGTTGTACAGACGGGAGAACCCGAGACCAGGACCACCTGTAGACCGGGACCAGGACCACATGTAGACCGGTCCGCATGAGAGGACTCCCCCTACAGGCGGGACTGCGACATGCATGTGAACCGCTGATGGGTCTCCTTACACCAACAGATGCTCACAGTCCCAGACTACAAACCAAAAGTCTTTAGTGAGTCTAGGAGCTTTACTGGAGTCTCCATCGTTAAGTTTAAGGTTTATCGTTAAGTTTAAGGTTTATCGTTAAGTTTAAGGTTTATCGTTAAGTTTAAGGTTTATCGTTAAGTTAAGTTTAATCTGCGCTCTTTCAGATCCGTCTCTTCCTAGTCTTGGGCTTAATGCGATAATATCAAACGTGTTTTGATATTATCGTAAGTCGCAGTGACGTAAACACAATCAACAACCGATAGATGAGCTCTGACTAAAGCGGAAACAGGAAACCTGACAGTTTCTACTTAAGGGCATAATGGGAAAAACGAATAAGAGAATCCAGTTGTAGTCTTGTAAATAGTGACCCTGCAAGACTCAGTCTTTGTAAAACCTCAGTCTGAGACTCGGCTGTGACTAAACCTCTCAACACGTCTTTAGATGTGAGCTGATGGTTTTCTGAGAGTCTTCTGATGTGTGGGTCACATTAAGCGGACAAATCCTAAAGGTTTCATTCACAGTGTCCTCCCAACGCTCCCCACCAGAGGGCGCTGACAGACCACACTGACCGGCTGGAGACACTCCTCAGAGCACATGCAGTCTCTGGGGTGAGACCGGTACCTGATGAGGGTGAGACTAGTACCTGATGAGGGTGAGACCGGTACCTGATGAGGGTGAGCCGGTCTGGGGTGAGACTAGTACCTGATGAGGGTGAGACTAGTACCTGATGAGGGTGAGCCGGTCTGGGGTGAGACCGGTACCTGATGAGGGTGAGACAGTACCTGATGAGGGTGAGACAGTACCTGATGAGGGTGAGACGGTCTCTCTCGGACGGGTGGTCGTCCAGCCACTGGGAGTAGCGTGCGATGGACCACTCGGCTCTCTGGGGGAGACAAGCGGAGTCACACATCTGGAGACACCTCCCGTGTTACACGTCCACACGTCCGGTTTGGTGAACACGCCAACACACGGTTTGTACGCTACAGTACACGCTACAATACACGCTACAATACACGCTACACGCATGACATGCGGTTGTGGTCTTGGAAGACCAGTTGAGTTGTACAGTTCTGTTATTTTCAGATGTGACTAACCGTCGGACCGGTTTAGACCGAGTCCACCCGGCTCCACATCTTACACAGCGGCTCGGTCCTCCGTGACTCGCGTGGCGGCTTCACGCCTTGAGAACCCGCTGGTGCTCGTCTACGCCTGTTGTCACGGTAACCAAACACACTAGTGAGCGATGAAAGGTTTGTGGTGGATGTGTGTGTGAGATCTGCGGTTCGGCTGCTCAGCCACAGTGAGCTCTGCTGTCGTCGCTTCGGTTCGGATCCGATGGGATCCGGGATTTCATGTGTGTGTGTGTGTGTGTGTGTGTGTGTGTGTGCCTGGTGTGTGTGTGTGTGTGTGTTGTGTGTGTACCTGGTGTGTGTGTGTGTGTGTGTGTGTGTGTGTGTGTACCTGGTGTGTGTGTGTGTGTGTGTGTGTGTGTGTACCTTGTGTGTGTGTGTGTGTGTGTGTGTGTGTGTGTACCTGGTGTGTGTGTATGTGTGTGTGTGTGTGTGTGTGTTTGTGTACGTGTGTGTGTGTGTATACCTGGTGTGTGTGTGTGTGTTTGTGTGTGTATACCTGGTGTGTGTGTGTGTGTGTGTGTGTGTGTGTATACCTGGTGAGTGTGTGTGTGTGTGTGTGTGTGTGTGTATCTGGTCTGTGTGTGTGTGTACCTAGTGTGTGTGTGTGTGTGTGTGTGTGTGTACCTGGTGTGTGTGTGTGTGTGTGTGTGTACCTAGTGTGTGTGTGTGTGTGTGTGTACCTAGTGTGTGTGTGTGTGTGTGTGTGTGTGTACCTAGTGTGTGTATGTGTGTGTGTACCTAGTGTGTGTGTGTGTGTACCTAGTGTGTGTGTGTGTGTGTGTGTGTGTGTGTGTGTACCTAGTGTGTGTGTGTGTGTGTGTGTGTGTGTACCTGGTGTGTGTGTGTGTGTGTACCTGGTGTGTGTGTGTGTGTGTACCTGGTGTGTGTGTGTGTGTGTACCTGGTGTGGGGAGCGCAGCTCCGCTGGGGCTCTGGAGAACAGGAAGCTCAGCAGTGTGCTGTAGGGGATGAGCTCCCCCACCACCGCACTGCTGGAGATCAGCTCACTGGTCTGGAACAACAGGGGCCTACACACACACACACAAACACACACACACACACACACACAGAAACCCTAAAACCAAACTACACAACTTAAAACTTCAAGCTCAAAATGATTCTTCGACTTCAACAAGTCAAGTATTTCTACAAATACAAAATGTTTTTACAAACACAAAAATGTTTTAACACAAACACAAACACACACACACCAGGTACACACACACACACACACACACAGTGAAGCTCACCTGAAGGAACGCAGCATTCGGTACGGCTTCCCCAGGTCAGACACCCTCCTGCAGAGAGGAGCTACTGTCAGCTCCATCTGACACACACACACACACACACGCACACGCACACGCACACACACACACACACACACACATACAGATCAGACTGTGGATTAACAAAGTACCTAGTAATTAACTTCATAACTCAATTCTGATCTATAGATGAATATCTAAGATCAGGGTAAAGTCAGGTTAAGGTCAGGTTAAGGTCAGGTTGAGGTCAGGGTAAGGTCAGGTTGAGGTCAGGGTAAGGTCAGGTTAAGGTCAGGGTCAGGGTAAGGTCAGGATGAGGTCAGTGTGAGGTCAGGTTGAGGTCAGGGTAAGGTCAGGGTAAAGTCAGGTTAAGGTCAGGGTAAGGTCAGTTTGAGGTCAGGTTGAGGTCAGGGTAAGGTCAGGTTAAGGTTAGGGTCAGGGTAAGGTCAGGTTAAGGTCAGGGGTCAGGGGTCAGGGTAAGGTCAGGGGTCAGGGCAAGGTCAGGGTAAGGTCAGGGGTCAGTGTAAGGTCAGGTTAAGGTCGTTCCATCAGGATAAAGTCAGGGTAAGGTCAGGGGTCAGGTCAGGGGTCAGGGCAAGGTCAGGGGTCAGGTTAAGGTCAGGGTAAGGTCAGGGTAAAGTCAGGGGTCAGGGTAAGGTCAGGTTAAGGTCAGGTTAAGGTCAGGGTAAGGTCAGGTTAAGGTCAGGTTAAGGTCAGGTTAAGGTCAGGATAAGGTCAGGGTAAGGTCAGGGTAAGGTCAGGTTAAGGTCAGGGTAAGGTCAGGTTAAGGTCAGGGTAAGGTCAGGGTAAGGTCCGGGTAAGGTCAGGTTAAGGTCAGGGTGGTGGCGGGTTCCTCACCTGTGCGAAGTCAGCGGCGAGCCTCATCTTGCCGCCCTCGCCGAGCGGCCGCAGCAGGCTGGCGTGGCGCAGGAAGAGGCGGATGGCGCGCTGCGCGATGACCTCACTGCGGCCGTAGATGAAGTCCACACACTGGAAGTGCTGGAAGTAGTCGGCCACCGCCCGCGACACGAAGCCCTGCAGCTCCCGCATGTACAGGGAGCAGGGCACGTCCGGGTGGTCCCCACTGGACAGCGGCCTGGAGGGGGACACGCACACACACACACACACGCACACGCACACACACACACACACACACGCACACGCACACACACACGGATACACACACGAACATCAAAACATAATGTAGAAGTTTAACCTGAACCTGACACCATGAATGGGACAATGAGGCAATGTGCATGTTTGCATGCGTGTGCATGTGTGTGTGCATGTGTGTGTGCATGTGTGTGTGTGTGCGTGTGTGTGCGCATGTGTGTGTGTGTGTGTGTGTGCGTGTGTGTGTGTGTGTGTGCGGTTACAGACCCAGAGAAGTCCTCCTGGTGCATGGTGATGATGATGGCCTCCAGGGAGTCGCTGACCGACTGCAGCAGCGGCTGCACCGCCGCCGTCATCAAGACCTGCACACCCTGACACACGCACACACACACGCACGCACACACACACACGCACACACACGCACACACGCGCACACACACACACACCACGCACGCACGCACGCACACACACACACACCCACGCACGCACACGCACACACACACGCACACACACACACGCACACACAAGAAGGCTGCCAGGTGAATAAGGCCCCCAAACCTGAATAAAGTCCAACACAGTTCCTGATTGGCTCACTGAAGAGAGGAAGTGATGCGTTAATAACAACTGAAGAGGGGAAGTGATGCGTTAACAACACACGGCTGTATGTGGCGTGTAGTATGTAGTATGTAGTATGTTTAATAGCGACGACTCTGCGCTGACCACTGAGCAGCCGTCAGGCAGCTCCTCGCCGCTAGACAGCCCAAACCTCGCAGCACGCGGCGCTGCAGCTCTCCGATTGGCTGCGAGGACGGCCGCTCGGTCACGTGACCACGCCGGGGCCTTTGGGACATCCTTGTTGCCA